CAAATGATCCTTGACCGTGGTAGTACATTTTTGCGCTTGCTGGATGATATCGCAACCAAGCATTGTTTCAGAGGAAAAGCACTGAGATCGTGCTGTGTAGCAATTGGAATCTCGCACAGAGCCTGCTCTCACATAAAGCAGGCAAGACCTTCACTCAGACGCCAGTCCTGATTAATATTAATTCCCCACATAAACTCTTGAAAACCAGACTGTCCCATCTGCCATATGCAGGACAAAAAAAACATGCAGCCTGGACTTTAACTGTTAAACAACCAAATCAGCATGATAAACAGTGTGATGATTTTTGCTTAGCCCATACCAAAGCCAGTTTTCTAGAATTAATTTGCAGAATCCTAAGAATTGGACCTCCAACTTGAAGAGCTAGCTGTGCTAACCAAGTTGCATGGACAACCCTGAATTGACGTGACTAGAGCAAACCTTCAAAAAATAATAGAGAGATCAGATTTGACTTCCACTACTGCTATTGCTATCAACTATTAACCAGATAAGTTTCATTTATCCAATCAAACAATCAGATGCAACTGCCAGATCAAGTAGTGGTAGTGGAAGTCAAATTTGAACCTTTCTATATGGATTTCCCAATTCAGAGAGACCAGTCATTATTTGCTGATATATTATTTATTATAACTTGTTTAATCAATATGATATTAAAAATTGATATAATTTTATCTATTGAAAGTGAGAATAATTAAAAAAAAAAAGTTAATTCATAACATAAAATGATTCATGCATGCTGGTGATTGAATAAACCATGAAGTGTGCATTCTGAATCTCTACAAGTTCCTTGACATTGTTTTTCCAGTGCAGTGTAAAACTATATAAATAAATGTTACACAGGTTGCAGGTATTAGGTTGCATGTCCACCAGTGTGCTGAAATACCATCCAGTGACCCGGTCTTGTTCATTGTTACTTGCATCTTGCTTAATTCAACTGTTTTTGCCCCATTTCTTGTACCCATAAAGTTCTTTTCAATAATCTAGAAGACTTCAAAATCATTCAGTAAATTTAATTTTAAAATTGGGTGAAAGGTAAGGGGTCAATAATAGATGAAGAAATCATTTCTTATTGTTCATACATATGGCCCCCATCTCTGTCAGGTATTAGAGTAGAAATTTATTGAAGCCTGAAGTCAGAAAATAAATATGGCAACAAGGTTACATGCCATACTGCAGAGTTAGGCAATTTTTTTAAAGATCTCAAGGGCACAAAAGGTATAAATATAGATTGTAGGGGCAAGGGAACAAAATAATGAAATTGTGAGATTCGGGGGCAGGTTTTACAATGGGGTGCTAAAACTTTTCCCTAAAAATCCCTGACCAGCTGGAGTGCTGAAACTGATGTTTGACTATTGAAATATCCTAGCAGGTTAGGTTCATCAGATTTTAGCTTTGTCAACCTGGCCACTCTGTTATTACAGTAATGCCTCATTTAAATAATTTCAGGTCATTACTGTATAAATGTAAACACAAAGTATTTGAAGTTTATACTGCTGTAAAATGTAGTTTAATAATACTGTATTAAAGTGTAAACACGTTTCTCGCCCAGACTGGAATGTAAGGTGTGTACGCCGAATTTGTCCGGTGTACAAACACAAAGTTTGGCGTACATAATGGCGTACATTTGTTTACATAGACTAGTAATTGTTCAAATTCAACGAATATGGACCAAATAGGTTTATACTAAAAAGGTGTATTTGGAACTTTTGCGCATTTACATTTCCAAAATTGGCGTACAGTTACATGTTCCTGAATCGATGTCCAGCGTGCAAAAAGTTAACTTTCCAGACTGGTTTCTCGCAGCGATAAATCAATATTGTAAATAATAATCATGTGAGAGTAGAACTTTACTGAGAGTCCGAGTATAGTATTATAGGCCATAGTCTGGTCATGTGTTTCTCGATATTGACAATACATAAACTACAATTGCACAAATTCATCTAACTATATTAACATACTGTATAAAATATATTACAGTAAATAGCCTTCGAAATATATATTTCATAGAGCTAGACAGTGTAACAAATATAAATGGGAATCTGCTAAATAATTTGTAACAATGAAATACATTTTCAAATTCATATATACTGTACCTTTTTATACTTGATGGAAATCATCACAAATAGTATGGACGAGATTGGCTCCATTTTCACTGCTTCGAAATTCGAAACATCGCCTCCTCGGCGATTTATATGATGCGATATAAAAGAAGATTGATGTACATTCGACGTAATATATAAACGTAACATATTAAGAAGAAAGATTACAACAAAAAATAAAAGAACATAAATAATCCGCGGCAATTCAAGTTCCATTCGTGAACTTTTCGTCGCCCCCCTGTCTTTATTCCACAAAGCCCGCTCGCAGGCTAATACTCCAAGAATCTTGGAGTATTTGCCTGACACGTGACCAGCGTTTACCAGGGCTACGTCGCCGCCTTCAATTCGCGACTAGCCCTGGGTACGAGGTTGACACATTCCTTCTATCACTGACCTGGCTTCAGCAAAGTTCTTTTACTATTTTCAGGTCAGGTAAGAAAATTTAGTTTGATTTTTTAAATATTTAATTTATCAAAACCTTAAATGGCATTACCATGCACTTTAAATTAGTCTAGGAGTCCATCAATCGATTGATATGTTGAATACCTGAAACTTCAATCTGTAGCTAATGCTAACTGATGTAAAACCGAATACCATGATAATTTTCTATATTGGCGTAGTGTACTCTGTCTCTGATTCAGGTGATTAGGATGCTTGTGATGTTACTCTGAGTGTATATCCACACCGGGCAAGCTTGAAAATATGCCTGGCCAGGACCAAAGTTCGTAGGTTCGATTCCCACCATGGCCAGGCATATTTTTCAAGCTTGCCAGGTGCGGATAACATTCACTCAGAGTAACATCGCAAGCATCAACTCTTGGGGATACTAACAAATTTATGTCTTCTACAGATAAAGTATTTTTCTTTCGTTTACGAATCTTTTATAAACACTGTTACGTTCGCCGGCGAGAACGAACAAAAATGTATGTTTGCATCTTCGTCTTTACGCTCGTTGCCCTCCTTGACCAGACACAGCGACACGCGCAGGCCAAGGAGGCTTTCTGGTATTTGTAATATCCTTCTTCTTAGTCTTAGTCTTATAAACTTTGCAACGACAATAAACCAATAATATCAATTTATTCTTCTTGAACAACAACACTACAAATTACTATTTATAATCCTTTCTAATAATTTTCTCTTCTTCTTTTTCCCTTCTTTCCAATTTCACTCCATTTTTGTACCAAGAGCAATGAGTGGGCGAGGGAGGCATTGGCTATGGGGAAATAGAATTTTTCCTGTGCTTTGATTGGTTTAACGTTTATCAATAAATTGCATGCCGTCAACAACCGGAACTTCTAAATTTAGGGGTTCAGGTTGTCGATTTCCCCTGAGCCAATGCCTTCGTCGCCCGCGCACAGGTATTGCTCTGGGTACGAGATTGATTTTACTCTGTCTAGCACTAAATTGCCTAAACACCGCTGCCAGATTTTACTTTAAACAAGCGGAACGTGTTCCAACTAAATTGATTAACTTAACTTTATTTAAGGGTGTTACTGAAAGGAAAGATCTCAAAAGAAAAGTGCAGGAGCCAAATGCAGAGAAAACAAATGGCAAGGATGAAGTAAACAAACAGGTAACTGTACCTTTACTGTATGTATTTAATGCATGTTATGCATGCAATATTATGTATAGGCAAGACTTATGTTTGTGATGTTACTCTGAGTGTATATCCACACCGGGCGAGTTTGAAAAATATGCCCGGCTACGGTGAGAATCGAACCTACGACCTTTGGTTCGATTCCCACCGTGGCCGGGCATATTTTTCAAGCTCGCCCGGTGTGGATATACACTCAGAGTAACATCACAAACATATTATTCACCTGAGTACACAACACCAACACAGAAAAAAAGACTATGCATCTTATTTAAAGTTGTCAAAAGCGTGAGCATGTGAGCTGACAGATGTGCGAACAAGGTTGGGTTTACAGTATTTCTTTCTGAAAATACTGCAAGTGGGGTAAGCACTGGACTCACATAATATTTACAGAATTACAGTATGTGAGCAACTCATATTGACTTCGGTAGCACACTGTCCATTATTTACATGCACTGTACATGACCCACATTTCAAATCCAGTCTTAATATTGGTAATAACACTGGGAGCAATTAGTTAATTGATAGTCGAAAATTTGGGGTAAATTTTCTCTCCAAAGGAATGCCTGTGTATTGACAAGCACGATTATCAGTTGTAAAGTTCATATACGTTACGAACATTTGCTTTTTGGATAACAGTTATAAGGGCAGAACAAAAGGTCGTGCGTAAGAATGAAGCTGGCATAAAGGCCCATTTACACGATACGATTAGTTGTATACGATTGTCATTCTGACGAATGAAAACGAGTGCTAATGCCACGTTTATATTGCTCATTCGCTGATGGCGAAATTTTAAATGTGACGTTTGTACGCGTGTTTATTCGATCACATTACACCAGAGTAGGAATCGTATACAACTAATCGTACCGTGTAAATGGGCCTTAACAGATCCTCGTAACATGCAATTAGGGACAGTAAACCAAGAGACTGCTACATCATTGATGACTATCAAATTACTAAAATCTTCATGCACTTATACTGTACTCCCTTTTCCCAGATTGATGTGATTGTGTAACGTTCTTAAGCATGCAAAGATTGATTAAGATGTAATTTCATTTTATACAGGGTCTTAGCTAGAGGGCCATGTTGGCCGTGTTATCACGGGCAAAAATGGAAAAACACGGCTAGATATAATGAACGCGGCTTCATTATTTGTATAAGGCCGGGTAGGTTCAAAAAATGAGGTGTTACGGACATAATTTCTTCCTATATATATGTCGTAAAAAAGTTTGTAAAATCTACTGTAGTTGTTGAAATTGGCAAAACTTATCCGTGATGTTTTAATGTTTGGACGATGGATATGGTGTTACTGTAAAATGGTTTTAAATACCCCCAAGAGTTGCTGATTGAAAGAACTTAATTCTTTAATGTCAGTGCGAAATATGAGCGTATGCTCGCCTTGTATTTGGTTCCAAAGCATAGAACAACCACAGGCATTGTCTGTTGGCTAGGTATAAATAGAACCGTGAATTTGGCTATTCAAGGTACCGGTTATTGACATGTGCATACCTTGGTCATTTAGAAACACGCCCAAGATCTAAAATCCTAGCTAAGACCTTGCTTTTATCCCCTTAGACTAACAAAGATTCGTCAGGTGAACCTAATGTAAGTATTTTTAGAGATTTAATTAGCTAGCTACAGAAAATTAAACCATCTTTCCATGAAGGTCTACTGTAGTAAGGGTCATCCCTTATAAACCAGTATTTAGTTTGTCTTGCCCTAATCTAGCCTCCTGCGCAGACGTTGTTAGTGGCCGAGGCCCCCCACCTAACGTCTGCTCACATTCGCTATACATTTGACTTCCCGGCAATTAACCAGTCGCAATCATGTACACGATAATTGGAACATCGACCATCACTGACCTTCAACGCATGGGCTATTTATATCAACAAGTCTGCAGTATTTTTAAATTTGAAAGTTTTAATGCGTATCAGAAGAAGGCTTTTCATTCCATTGTAAACGAAAAGCAGGATGTTTTCGTCAATCTCACAACTGGAGTCAATGCTGAGAGCGATGAAGAAGCGAAGGCATTGGAAGAAGGGAAATATTCTGTATTATATGGCACACCAGGCAGAGTCATAATTTGTTGAAGACAAAGTGTACAGCTGAATTCGTTAGTGCTTTGGCTATAGATGCATGAAGCTCATGTCAGTATGTATTATAATAAATCCTAAACATATATGTGTTCGCATTTATTATTCTCAAAGCCACAGGAATCGATCGGCTTTGATAATTTTAATAGTCGTTATTTTATATTGTCTTGAATTTTTCTTTTTATACGTTGCCTCGTATTATGACTATTAATATCTATTGCATGTAGTACTAGCAAGTTTATATGAGCCATTCTAATTAATATACATACCCCAACCATCTGATGCAAACCCTTCATAATTGAAACTCTCATATGATAACTTGCATGCTAGTACTACTTGCAATAAATAATACGAGGTAATGTATAAAAAGACAAATTCAATGTATTAAACAACGACTATTAAAATGCCCGATCGATTCCTGTGGCTTTGAGAATTACAAAAGCGAACACATTTTTAGAATTTATTATAATACATACCATTCTTTAATCATATCAGCTTCATGCATCAATAGCCAAAGCACAAACCATTTTGTTATACACTTTGTTGTTAATAAAGCATTCGTCTCCATCGTTCTGTCTTCAACAATGACTCTGCCTGTGCCATATAATACAGAATATTTCCCTTCTTCCATTCCAATGCCTTCGCTTCTTCATCGCTCTCGATTCCACTTAATAATGACACAGCACTGACTCCTAGCTTGACGTGTAGTTTTTTTTTACTTGATTTCGCATTGCTTTTCGAAGACATATCGTCTATATTTCTCTTTCGACACACTTTAAATAATTAATTGATTAAAATCATGTTATATACAAATAAAAAACTTTTTACAATGTTTACAATTTGTTTAAATATTTAAATCCAAATATTACATCGAATAGCTTAGGTAACTGCCTGATAAATAAGTAATTTCCTGCGCCAGTTGTGAGATTGATGAAAACATCCTTTTCGTTTACAATGGAATGAAGGCCTTCTTCTGATACGCGCAGTATTAAAACTTTCAATTTTAAAAATACTACAGACTTGTTGATATAAATAGCCCATGCATGTGAAAGTCAGTGAAGGTCGATGTTCCAATTATCGTGTACTTGATTGTGATTGGTTAATTGCCAGGAAGTCAAATGCAAGGCTGCAAATTACTGTCGGATATCCGCCTAAATTTGGCAAATTTCCGAGGGGTAGGGGTAAAACGCTGAAACTGAACCGCGGAAGCGGAAACTGAAAGCGGAAACTGAAATGGGGATAAAACGCTGAAATGGGGATAAAACGCTGAAATGGGGGTAAAACGATGAAATAGGGATAAAACGCTGAAATGGGGAGAAAACGCTGAAATGGG